GACAGACCTGTTTTCAGAAAGATTTGCCGCCTTGGTCAGCACACAGCAACAACATTAACTGTGTAACTTGTACTGCTGTTCATCTCCATCAGGTGGATTTCTACTCATGGTGGCCCCGAGTGGTGCAGACTAGAAGAACTCCTCCAGAAGGTCTTCTCAGCTCCACTTTCACCAAAAGCAGATCACCAGTCGTTTTCTTCCGTGGGACCACTGGGTGACTTAACACTATCAACCTGTAGGTTAGCATGGAGGTTCAAACAGGTTGCATCACCAACACCTTTGTGTGCCCTGCCGACTGCCAGTGAGTCAGTCTGACTCAGAGTGACTGGTTGGACAGCGTAAAACTGCCCTTTGGGTTTCCAAGGTCGTACATCTTTACAGGAGCAGGCAACCTCGCAAGAGTGGCTAGTGGGGTTCAACTGCTGAGCTTGCAGTTAGCCACCTTTTGTGTAACTTGTATACCACCAGGGTTTTCGTGTGTGTGTGTGTGTGTGTGTGTGCGTGTGTGTGTTCCTGAGCTCATTAGTCTTCAAAAACATTCTCTTACATCCTTCTAGGAGTTTAATCGCCATGTCCCACGTCTCAGTCACCCCAGACGATGAGCATCTTAAGCCAAAGGCTGGTGACTCCTCGCTCGCCAGTGAGAATGATTACACGGCGGTTCAGAAGGGACTCATGCTGAAAAATTATCCTTTTTCTCTCAAGTCACAGTCTACCTGCAGTGCCATGTTTTCATGGTGAACAACAGGGACCCTATTAATCTCAGGTTGCCATGTTCTGGAGCATCCTGAGTCAAGATTTGCTTGTGCCCTCCAAGCCCAATCCATTGCTGAGAACTGTAACAGCAGAACTGGCCCTCACAATGACCCCATTCTTATAACAATGCCCAAGCTTTTGTTTTATTTTGTTTTAATGTGAAAAGGTTTTAAAAAACAAAACAAAACACTAGCCAACATTTATTAAGTTTTTACTACATGCTATTAAATGCTCGTAGGAGCCCTGGTAGCTTAGTGTTTACACTCTGGGCTGCTAACCTCAAGATCAGCAATCCAAAACCACCAGCTGTGCCGATGGAGAAAGACGAGGCTTCTGCTCTTGTAGAGCCAGTCTCGGAAGCGCACAGGGCAGTCCCACCCTGCCCTAGAAGGCGCACGATGAGTGGGCACCGACTTGATGGCAGCGAGCTTTCGTTTGCTTATTTATTTATTGGCAATGAGCTTTATTAAATGCTGTCTCATTACTCCTCACAACAAGATAGATGATCATTTTGAATTATATTCTTTTTAGGGATCTGAGAAATAAGGTTAGGGAACTTAGAGAGCTTAACTTGCCAAGAACTCATAGCTAATGGAGCTAGAATTTAAATGCCAATTTTTACGAATCCCTACTTCATGCTTTCATCTTGTATATATGTCTTTGAGGAGACTCTGTAATGCGCCAGAGACGGGGATAATCACCCTGGTGTGTATCTGCGTTCATTCATCTGTGAATTATGTATTCGTTCATTCAGCAGTTCTTTTTGACCATTCACCATAAACTCCATACCAGGTGCCATTGAAAATCCACAGCTGTCACCAAATGGCAATGACGTGTAACCACTACGCTACCAGAACTCCTCTCAGGGACAGTTTTGCCCTTCCCTATAGGTTCACTGTGAGTCTCCTGTGATAGATTATGTCCTGAACACTGTTAGGGTCTAAGGGATTTTTGTTTTTTAATAAATGTGCTGCTTCTGCCTTCAAGGGGGCCCTGGTGGAGTAGTGGCTATGATCCACACGGTCAGTAGTTGGAGAACACCCATGGCTCTACAGGAGAAAGATAAGCCTTTCTACTCCCATAAAGAGTGACAGTCTCAGAACTCCCAAGGAGGCATTCCATCCTGTCCGATGGGGTCCCTGAGTTGGCTGCAACTAGATGGCAGTGCGTGTTTTGCGCTTAATTAGGTGCAATACTGTAGAGCGGCTGGACATCTTTAGATAGCCACTCTGTTGGAAAGTGCAGCTTTTATTCCGCTCTTTCTGCCTGTGCCTGAATCAATGGCAGTGAGTACTCTCTGCCCTCAAGAAAGCTAGATGCTGCTAACGGAGGCACACGTAATTAAGGGATTGTATGTGGTGATGAGCCATGTGATGGAGAGCATGCTTGGATGCAGGCGATACACCGGCAGGGCAGGGACCAGCCCTGGGGATGAGCACGAGGGGAGAGGGGAAGAGGAAGCATAGCTGGGCCAAGTCTTTTTTTTTTTTAAAAGACTGTCAGCCCACAGATGGGGGGGGGGCGGTCCAAAAAGTTCATGGAAGGAAGAGATGATAGATTTTTTTCCCATAAACTTTTTGGAGCCCCCTTGTATTATTACTATGTTAGGAACCCTAGTGGTATAGTGGTTATGCATTGGGCTGTAATCCGTATGTTCGGCAGTTCAAAACCACCAGCAGCTCCTTTGGAGAACACTGGGCTTTGTACTCCTGTAAAGAGTTACCGTCTCGGAAACCCATAGCGGTCGCTATGAGCCAGCAATGACGATGGCAGTGCCTTTTTGAGAGAATCACAGTCTTTGATTTGAAAGCGCTCTCTGTGACTAGAAGACTTACTCATCTCCATGCCACTGACTGTCTGCCCCCCGCCCCCCTCACCAGTTGCTGTCAACTTGATTTGACTTAGCGAACCTCATGTGTGATAGAGTTGAACTGTACACCATAGGGTTCTCAAAGGACAATTTTTCAGATGTAAATCACCAGGCCTTCTGGGGGTTTTAGTATGTAACCACAAAGCCAGCCTCACACAAAGT